CTGTATATCTCTGAATGAAGCAGCACTATATAGACATGCTAGAATTCCCTACATATAAGAGAGATTATTTATTTTTTTTCTAGAACACATGAATTTCTGTGTATGCACATCTTACGGATAGAACCACTACAAAACCTGGAATAGTTTAGGTTCAGCTTCCCCGGCTCATCCTTTCTCTTGCATTTGAACAATTTAAAATCCTGGGATCCGATGACCTTGAGAACTAGGTAATTTGTGATACGGATTTTAGAATTCAGGCTCTCACTGCTGAAAGGAGGACAGAAGCAGGGAAGCTGTGTGTCACACTGACCCGCTACTGCTCACAGAACAGCATGTGAAACCTGCCTTGTGCGGTAGTGGGAAAACAGAAAAATATTTTGGCATAAAGTAAGACAGAATTTCAGCTTCTGAAGTTCATTAATACATAACTGCCCTCTGCAACTCCTTCTTGGTCTTTCCCCTGAATCTTCCTCTCCCCATTTATGGGCAAATGTTGTTCCACCTTTTCCTGAAAACCCCAGATGCAAAGGTTTGAAGAAGCGGGGATGCTGCAGGCAATTCATGCAGAAAGAAACTTTAAAGAAAGCCTACAGCACATCACTGGACAGGAAGCCTTGTGTTTCTGGGTGGATAATTACCTTCTACTTAAAAACTAATTTAAGGAAGAAAGATCAGATGAAGAACGGTATGGCACAACACCAAGCATACTCCTAAGGTCTTACTGAGCTCTAGAACACAAAATAAGGAAGGCACATGAATCTCTAGCATGTTATTCCCAAGCTCTCCTTTATTTATATTGACCAGAGCTAAGGTTTATACAGTAGTATAGCTACTGCCACAGGTTAAAATATGACTCAACTGTGGCATTCAGTGGCCTTACACCATACAGAAAGTAATTTATAATCTATTTGAAGTCATTTCATCAACCCTTGGGACAATGGCTAACAAGACTGGGAAGATGGTTTATTAGACCCCCTTTCCATTAGGTCAAAGTCTGAGAAACTGCTTATTTCCCACAGTGGGATGATGTTTCACAGCCTTATTTGCAAAACACTGTGTGAGATATAAATTGCCTGACTTTACCCCTTATATGGAATATACATTTCATTTATTCCCTTTCCACTAGTAAGTCAGCTGATTCGGGGAGCAGGCCTTGTTTTTTGTCTGACTGGGACCCCTATAAACATGTATCATCTTTATTCTTTGGGCTAGATCAGTGACAAGGCACTGTTTCCCACACAAATTGAACCACTGCCTAAAAGGACTTTCCATTCTACCCTAACAGAAGCAGAGGAAAGAAGACTCTAGCCTTTCTTAAAACTATGGGGTTATTCAGCATTTCCCAGTTAACTAACTAGCCACTGATCCAGCACTAGAACAAAGAGCAGATGCCAGGATCTCCCACCTCAGTTAGCATCTACAAATCACTGCCAGAACAGCAGAGCTGCTCAGAGTTAGCCTAGGGCAAGACATCTGAAAGGTCACAACCAAGAGTTTGACTGTAGAAGGCAAACTCCAACCTCTTCTCATGTTGCTGAGCTCTTATCGCTTTCAAGCTCTTAGAGCAGCAGGCCAGATCCTGTGTTTTAGTGAGGTTCTCACTGCCTTCCTTGCTCCCTAATAAACTGCCTATGTGACACATCTCTCAGCCAGCACGTTCATCTTGATTCATTATTGACAGAGTCATCTGATTAATGAGCAGATTCTCCTCCTTGTTGTTTTCATGAGAAAGCAGCACAATGGTGCCATGGATTTTTAATTCTTCAAACCACTCTGGCCTTAGCATCCTGATGAGAAGTTAGCAGAAGACAGTCAGAGGTTGTAGTTTTGTCTGGATTTTTTCCTGTTTTAAAAAACATTTGGGTCTTCATGTGCAGAGGTTGTGAACTCTCTCTCAAGACAGTCCATGCATGAAGTCTGGGATGGATGCCCAAGCATAGGTTTCCTTCCAAGGAAATAGATACACTTTGTTGGTAACGCTGTGCCTGCAGATCAGTGAGAATGAATGTTGAAGCAAGTTGCATTCTCAGCTGACCCCAAAGGAATGCTGAACTATGTCCTTCAAGTACTTATTCAGACAAATCCATGTGGCCACTGAAACATCTGGATTAGAGCATGGGTTTTCCTGGGATCTAACTATACAGAAAGGCAACTATATACAAAAGGATAAGCATTGACAGTATTAAGGGTTATCATCAGAAGGTGTACAGGAAAGCCTGCCAAACATGTTCATTTTGAGTCTTACTCTGAGGTACAAAGAGCAAAAACCTTATTTCAGACAGTAAAGCACGGGCATTATTCGATCCAGTTCTGGGCCTGTTTCCTTTAGACATACAGCTGCAATAAGCCAGCCGTGCTGTTTCATTAAAACTTAGAATTTTTTAGCAGTTCTGGGAGCTATAGCTTTTAACTTGGCAAGATATTTAGCTCCACCTTAAAAATGAAAAATAGCTTTAAAAAAGCCAGAGCAGCATTTCATTCCTTAAATATGTAATTCAGCAGGCGCAAAGCTCCAAGTATAAAGCAACCAAAGGTGATTTAAATGAAAATAATCTACCAGTAACCTAAAAGACAAACCAATATGTGAGGGGAAAGGCTTAGTTATTAAGGTACCAGACTGCAAAGACGATCCCTTATGTACTTGCCTCCAAGGAGCGTGACCTTGATTAAGCAGCAGTGACTCAGTCTACTCACCCAAGAAATGGGGAGAATATAGTTCAAGCTCCTAAAAACACTATAAAAGTATTAAGATTTTCCAACAATGATTCAAGATGTGGGTGTTAAAAGCAATTGACTGAGCAGAAGTACATCTCAGAGCGTGCAGACACTGCATTATTTTTCCCCATGAGTGTAGTACCCATGATGCCCACACTCTTTCAAAAGCTCAGCCCTCAGCATCTGACCAGAATAAGCTTATTAAGCCATCAGCAAAAGCCTTTAAGAATTTAAGATAGAGCTGACTGGCTTTCTTCAAATGCCTGTTTGTGCCATTACCTGCCTGGGCCAGAAGCATCTGTCGAGACATAATCTGCACATTAGAAATTCATCTGCAGCCATTTATCTTCCAAGTTTCCTTACACCAGAGGACACCCAATAAGACAACCCAGACAAATAAATACTAAAAAATCTTGCAACACAGCTAATGTGAATTCCTGTAGAGAAAAAAGATGAGGTAGTTTTAAGTACATAATTGGAAAGTCTCCCTTTTCCATTGTCCTGAAGATTTTTGATCCACTAGTTGTAGAGGAGAAAAACACCCGAAAAAAGTCCAAGCTGTCCTGACTGTAAAAAAATAATCTTCCCAAATAAGGATGTGCTGACCAATGCAGTGATCTGAGCCTAAACCCATAAATGCAAGGAGGGACACCCCTCCTTCCTCCTCCAGTAACAATACAGGCTGTTGCATTTTACCACTCAATAAAAAGTAGTCCTAGGATTCAGGATCAACCTTGTAGAACAGCAGAGAAGCAGCAATACCAGAATCTGGTCTGCCACTTGTCTCACAGAGAACTTTTTAACTGTTTTTGACAGGGTTTTTTGACTCTGGAACAAGGTCAAAGATATCAGGACAACCCTAAGCGCTCTGCAGTGGCCCCTGTCTGCCTGGCAGAGGATCTCTCAGCCTAGGGCACAGGTACCACAGGGTGCTGCAGCAGTGATGGAAGAGCAATGCTGCCACCTGCGGACAATCAGAATTACAGTCTCCACCTAGACAGGCACTGGACAAAAAGGTGTTCAATGATCCATGAAATTTCAAATCTCTAAAAATTTTCTATTAGAGGTCGTTTCTTTAAAATTAGTTTAAGTTGACTACTAATAGACTCTGCTTGCTACCAGGAAAAAGCATTAGACTGTTTTAAGAGCAAGCGCAGAACAATTACTGTAGTAACAGAACACCCAACATGCTCTCTTGCTAAAGGATACTCAGCAGACTAGTTTCTGCAGATTCAGAAAGAGCTTTATCAAATTTCTGTAGGAGGATCCTTGAGTACAGCCCATGTGTATCTAGATACTATGCTATTCTGCATTTTATCCTCTAATATTATCTCCAAATGACCTTGAGGCCCACTCAGCACCTCAAAAAGCCTGAAAAAATATTTCCAAGGCCTAGCTGTTTTAGAATCACAGAATTACTTGCAAATCCAAACATGTCAAAGCAGACAGTGATAGTAATATACTGTTGCAGGTAAAAACATTAGCTCCACAATGGTTTATAGTCACTAAGCTTTACTGCAGGAACCTCTTTAATTCTCTCCTACTCAGATGGATTTTGAACTAGAAGCAAAACCTGAACTCACATTTCACAAATCCCTCACACATCAAGTCTTCTTTATATCTGTTTTCAGCTATATGCATCACAGACAATAGAGGTGGCACAGCCAAGAAGTCTCTCTAGCCTGTTCAAACCACTTCAACCACATATAAAACAAACACACACACACACACACCAGGAAACATGTAGGACAAAAAAAGACTTCTTAGTCTCCTTAATCTAATTGTACACACATTTGTATAGTAGACTGCACCAGTGGCCAAGACAGTAAATTTCAAACCATACTTTGGGCTCATTTAGGACACACACAGGGGAGGGTTATGCTGTCACAGTCCTGTGGAGCAAATAAAATCATTACAAGTCAGAAGCACCAGAAGAATGGCAGATCACACAGGTGAGGATGAAAAGGTCCATCTTTATTAAAAAAAGTTCAGCTGAAACCTTTTTACCTGCTGAACAGTACATGGCACAGAAATCTACATCACAGAAAATTCTGCTCACTGGTGAAAAGACTGAAGTCTGCCATTAGTATGAGATGATCACTGCTACTGAACTTTTTACTCAGATATGGAAGGACAGGACCATGTGATTCATAAAGGGACTCTTACACAAAAAAAGTATGATCTCTAATGCATGTAAAACTATAAACCCACAAAGACTCTTCTCCTTCCAGGACGAATACATGTCCAAAAACACAATTGGAGTGATACAAAATCATACAGCATAATTAAAAGAATAACATTCAGACACTTTATTGGATAAGAAGAAAGACCAGAGGTGCTTTAGGACACATTAACAGATGGGCTACAGATCTGTTCATCTACCAGGGTAGACTCATCACACTGCAACACAGCTCACCAAGAGACCTGAAAGAAGTTTAAAAAGTTTATATTCAAGGAAAGTTACATGGGACAGGGAGGAGAGGGGTAGGTAGGGAATGAGACCCAGCATCCTCATCACAAAACAAACCAGTTAAGGAACCTCTCTTATCACTCAGTGTCTATGTGGAGATTATTTTGGTCTATTTACGTTAAGTCACCTGTTAGGTTAGTTCATACCTAAAATGTTTTCTAGTATTAACATGCTTTTGGGAAAGCACGCAGAGATAAAGCATTTTTTACTTTCAGAGCTCTCTATGACAATGATGTTGGCTCAGCATCCCTGTGAGGTAGGCAAAAATTAGCTGTTTTCCAAGACACAGAGACGTTAAATGACTTCCTCAAAGCTATGGTGAAGAATGTGTTATTTATTATTACTATCCTTAATAACCTGGAATGATATTGGTTTTCAGAGACAGGGTATTGGAGGCAACCAGCATGTGCTAGCAAGGAATTACTGAATCTTCATCTCATTCTTACTATTAAAATGCTTTGAATCCCCCCCCACCTTGAAAAGTGTTCCACAAACACATACATATACTAGTGAGGTTTTCCTTCATCTCTGTAACAAAAAGCACTGGTCCTTTCCAGCAGTAAGCAGATGTCCTACATTGGGGGCTTTTCCCTGCTAGCAAAGGGTAGCCTAGATACAACTAGAGTTACATACAGTACTCCACCAATAATCATATCCTAGATCTTTCTACCATTACAGTTACAGTTATCAAACATACTAGTAAGTATTAGTTACTTTAAGGAGTTTAGCTTGAGTATTCTAGTTTATGTAAAAGGAATAGAAAAAAAAGATAACTTCCCATTCTTTTAAACGGATACTTATATAAAAATGAGCTATCACAAAATAAAGCACACGGCTGCTACAAAGGATAGCAACAAAGCCATGCTGGGATTAACCTAATAAACGCAACATATCCCCAGTTGCAAGGTTAACAGATTCACCAGCACAGTGTGTATCCCCAGAAAAGCTTTTGCTTTGCAGAAAAGTGAGGTGGGTCTCAGAGCCAGGCTCTTCTTTATTCGGTCCACAAAGAAGTAACAGTAGATACTGTGTTGTGTATGTCTGTATTGAGAAGTTTCCAAAACTGTCTGGATATCTCCCTCCATTCAGCAGAGCTGAACTTTTGCATTTTCTCCCCATGTTTCTAATCTAAACAAGTATTTTGCTGTAGAAAGCAGCACACAGTTGCTGAAGTCCATCTCCTATCGTCTTGTGCCTAGTCAGATCATTTGCCCAATTTTAACAGGAGATCACAGTGTGGCTCATAAAATACACCTGTAGAGAATCCTTCCCATTGACTAGAGCTCAGCTGTAAAGCAAGGGACCAACAGCTGGGTAACACTGGATAACATGAAGCCCTCAAAACAGTCACTTAAATAGCTGTACCATGTAATCTTGTAACATCAACTCAGCTTTATTACTGTCAGTACAATCCACTAATATAACACTCAGCACTTTCAGCTGAACACCACAAAGGCATAATTTACCTATGACAGATGCAGAACACCATGCTAGTTTATTGCTCATGTTTAAAAGCCCTTTGTATAGTGGTTAGCACACTCCCACTTGGTTCTAAAGCAAGGTTGTGCTCCAGGCAACAGCAGCTCTAGCTCAACACCTATATCAATTTCTCTGAAGCTTTCCACAACTCCTATAAACAAACTTTTCACCAAAACCCCACATAAAGGAAACAATTTCAACACAGATGAGAATTCAGTTGTCATGAGCAACACAGTATGGATCAAATTAATCTTTGCACTGAAGTTACACTTTTCCCCAGTTGTGTTTGGCATGTTTTTCACACTGCTACATAACTGCTGAACCAATCAGGTCTCTGAATGGTCACATGTGTATCATATGGCAAGATCTGCAGGAAAAAAACAAAAGACCACTTTAAGGTATAGGAGGGGAAAAAGAGGTGGGGAACTTCAGAGCTAACAGCGTTTAAATGTGATTCTGTCACAAACTCTGGACTCTATTGGGAAACATCTTGTTAACAAAACGGTTTCTTCCTGTTTCTGGTCCTAATTTTTATGCAGAGACAATGCAGCGATCCTGATTTTTTTTTTTTTTTTTTCCTAACCCTGTATCTTTCTCCTTTGCTTAACTGGGCTTCTTTTGGGGCTTCTTATAATAAGACATTTGACTATAATACTCTGGGCCTCTAAATAAAGACAGAACAACAATTGAAAAAAATTTCTTTTTTCACCTAAGAATCTGTTCTTCCACTCATGCATCCATTAATCCATATCCAACCAGAGAAACCTGACAATCTGTCTTTTGGCTCCCCCTTAACTCCAAGACTGTAATTTCAGAAATTATATTGAAGCAAATGCAAAAATGGAAACCACTTGTTTTTCTATGCTTTTCAGCTGCATGATTTGCATTTACAGCTTCAGTTTTCATAGCAGAACATAAATTTACTGCGTTGGGTTTAAAGTTTGTGCAGTGGGCTATTCATGCTTCATTTAGCACCAACATCCCACAGAGATACATAACTCGGAAATTTCTAGACTTTAAGGACCAAGCAGAAGCAACAGTTAATGAATTAGTATCTAGTGCTTTTCAGGGGCCTTGTAAATAAAAGCTTAAGATTTGGCTAGGGAAAAAACCCAACAAAAATTAAAACATACAACAGATGAAGATGACTATGCTCACAAGGGAGTGAAGTAATAGCACCTACATTGTTGTGACACTAACCATTTGGCAGTGTTTTCTGTTTACCACACAGGAGCCACTGGACTCCTTGACCATAATAAGAAAAGGAGTCATAAGAGCAATAACTGTGCTTGTGAAGGAAAACAAGAGTTTGTATTTGAGGCTCAGTCTTACTTTCATCGAGTTGACAGTGAAAGAATTCAGTGGCAGAGGATGAGGTTCTTTAAACGTTTCCTTGTCCTCACATCACCTCGCTCCCCTGAAGCAAAGCTGCACAGTTCACCCCTTCCAAAGAACCAACAAACCACTTTTTTAAAGTCTGCTGTACAAGTTAACCAAGACCAGAAATTACAAAATTCACAGACAATCAACCGCTCAAGACAGTCTTGCCATTCTTCCCACTGTCCATAACAGGTCATCCACCCACATCATCCACCGTTAAACCGGAACTGTGAGGCCTGACTCTACAGCTCTTGTTACAGTTTGGGCAGAGCACCAGCTGGTGCTAGCGTGATACCAAAGACATAGAAAAGCCCCAAGAGGAGATTGAGTTTGGCTGTTCGTTGAGGAATTTTGTTGAAGCTCTGACTCCGAAACTGCCTCTCCAGTGAAAATGCCATCGGGATGGTGAGTAGTGGTAATGCCATGCTGATGGTATAGCGTGTGGCCAGCACACAGAAAATCAGGTAGGGCAAGAAGAGCAGCACGGTGTAGAGAACATAGGAGAACGCAGGGCCGATGAGGATAGCCAAGGTGACAATACCCGCCTGCCGGTCAGACTCCATGTCTCGTGTGTTGTTGCTGTGCAGGATGGCCTCAGTACTGAGCGCCAGTGGGACAGCGTAGAGCAGTGGTGAGACAGACAGATAACCAACCTGCACAGCATGGGCAAACATGACAGCCAGGGGCCCAAAGGTGATCAGGATCACCACGTCTCCAAGTGCAACATACTTAAATCCAATTCCTGTGGCAAAACACAAGAATAAAATGAAGCATCGTCAAACAACTCAAATGACAGAAGAGAATGGATAATATAACAGATCAGCCCTTCCCACAGAAATATTGTAAAATGACCAACGCACGCGTGTCTATGGCTGAGAAGCATATTTTCTCTTTTTTCTAGAGATAATAAAGGAAATGCAGCTTCTGAATTTCTTCAGTCAGTGTAACAGAAACTAAGGACCAAGTTCTAATACCCATCTTCACATCTAGAAGTACCTATTTCTGCAGAAAGCTATAGAAGTAAGGTACTCTTTAGTGTGACCATGCATACTAGAACCTAATCCTGAAAAAATATATAAAACGCTCAGAACAAGAAGTAAAGCTGACAAGATTCTTTCAAGGTAACTACTGTAACTGTTTGAAAGTTTGACAGTTTGGAATCAAGTTTGTTTTCCTTTTCCTAATAATTATGTTTCTACCCAACCAGGAAGACACTAAAAATATCCTACTTCTTATCAAGAGCAAACACAAACTGTTCTACATTCACAGTGAAACTCCATCTAGAGAATAACAACAAAACATTCCAAAACAAAGTAATAGACTCTACCAATGCAAAAGAAAATATGCAGTGAGCTGTACTGCTGAGGAATATGAGATACACATCACAAAAAGTTTCAGCAATAGTTCTGATAAGCATCTAAAGCCATATACGTAAATAATAATGTCTCAACACCACTTCCCAACTGAAGAATTTAGCGTGGCTCTTCCTACAACAATCAATGGCAAATACGAGTTTATGTACCAGTACTCCAGGAAATATCACAGAATAGTTTTATGGTGGTTAACTAGATAGATCACTTACGTCTTCTAGAAACCCTTGACAAGTCAGCTAATGCTGTCACGTTTACATTCAGACTCACAGCAAACAGGATACAGCACTTACCTCCAGTATAAAGGAAGGAACTGGAAAGTCCACCAAAGTAAATCAAGGCCAGGTGCTCCAGCTTGAGCGTTGAGAGAACATAGAGCCCAGCAGCACAGATACAGCCCACAGTATAAAGGAAGACTCCAAACCGGACTACGTCCTGAGGCTCCAAAATCTGGTCCACCAAAGTCCTGTCATCGCTCTTCTTGTGATCGATGCCTTTGGAGAAGTCGTAGTAGGTATTCACCAAGTTGCCGGCTCCGTGCACAGCCAGGACGGCCACGGCGCTTCCCACCAACAGCCCTGGGTCCAGCGCTCCCTCGGCCCGGTACGCCAGCGCGCTGCCGAGAGCCACGGGGGTGAGGGAAGCACTGAAACTCCAAGGTCGGAGCGCCAGCACGTAGGCCGCACACTTCTGCCTCCAGATGACTGGGGGGACGCCCTCAGCGCCCGCCAGCGCGGCGCCGGAGTCGTTCCTCTCGCTGCCCCGGGGGCTCTCGGCGCTAACGCTGATTACTTATTATAGGGTAATTGTAAACTCTAATCAGACCCTGCTATTTTTCAGCCATTGCACGACCCTTGATTTAGAATTACATCACCATGGGGTCGGGCACCTGATGGGTATTTTGGTATTTGATGCAGTAGAGAGCAAATAGGCTGAGAGTCAAGATATTATGTGGTGATACTGTTTTATCACAGGGTTGTAAGGCCTAAGGAATATAGTCATTACTTGTGATATTTATGCCCTTCTGGTACAGCATCCTTCCATGCAATATGTGTTTTGGAAACAGGCAGCAGGGGCATTCTTAAAAAAGCCGCTCAGAGATTTCAATAGCTGAAAGCAGTAAAAAATAGTGTCGCTCTTAAGAACTTACAGGACTTGATGCCCCCGAGCCTCAACATACCACCATCATGTCGGGCACTGTGTCCATTCTCCAACAATTTGCCAATGGCTTGAAGAGTCGCAGTGAAGAGACAAGGGCCAAAGCTGCCAAGGACTTGCAGCATTATGTCACCATGGAGCTCCGTGAAGTGAGTGCTATAAATGACATCATTTATCCTTGTTTATCATATGAGTGTAGGGCATGGGCTGAGTACCTTGGGGATGGAGATTTTTGGAATATGGAAGCTGGTCTTAGGAGGTGGGGCATAGCAGGGAGCTTACCTTTGCCTCAGCACGTAGGAGAGGTGAGTTGGTGATGCACATGGGTGGTCAAGTACCAGAATAAACAAACTTGACATGTCTAGGGCACAAAGAAGAGATACTGATTTGTGTTTGTAACATATGGTCGATTTAATTTCTTTTTAAGTGACTGAAGAAGCATTGTCTTTATGGAGGCTTTGGGAGCAAGAAGGAGGGAAAGAATGCTGAAAGCTGATTTGAACTTTTTTTACAGATGAGTCAGGAAGAATCTACCAGGTTTTATGATCAGCTGAACCATCACATATTTGAGCTGGTCTCTAGCTCTGATGCAAATGAAAGGAAGGGTGGCATTCTGGCTATAGGTGAGTGAAAGTGCTTAATGTCTCTGAGTTTTCTCTTCATGCATCTATCTTTAGGAACAGATTGTCAAAAGGAATGAGCTTTTATAATCGGGGCCTTATGTCTGACTGTTCAGTACGCTGGGTGCATGCTAGTTGCTGGGCTCTGAAAAATCTCTCTGTAAGTGTCAGCATGGGAGCTGCTGAGTGCTGAGGGTGGCTGAAAATCTGGTGCTTAATGGGCCCTGAGCTCTTCTGGGAGTCAAGTATCAAATGTGAGTGCTGAACACTTGAAAATTCTGTTCTTGAGTTCAGCTGAGAACAGTTTGTGCTGTCCATTTAGATGTATCAGGGTGGGCTGACTTTCTCAACTCTCTTCTGTCTGAGGAGGTTGATTCTTGTTATTTAAATTCACCTGGCTCAATAACAGCAGCTTCCATCCCTGGGAGGGGCTCACATTGCTTTGCTTTGATTCTGATCAGCTGCTCCATCAGTTGCTCTTGTTGTGCTTTTGCTGTGACATGGCAGAGCTACTTGCATTTTCACTCTTAGGGAAATCAGCTTGAGTAAATATTTTGCCTTCCAAGCAAGTAGCTTGTATCGTAGCAGTTACTTCTTTAATAACCAAATAGGAGGTGCTTATGGTTTAGGTTCATAGACATAATCATCCATTCCCAAGATGTTTGAAGACAGCAGAAGTCCCTTTAGCTAGAGAAATCTTTGGTGACAACATCTGATTTTAAGCTGGCAGTATCACTTTAAAATTTTTTCTGCAAATTTAGTGTTATTGAAAGGTGCCAGCTTGACAACCCTGGACACTGATGGCCTCTTTATCTACAGAGCAGGTACAACCCAGGCACTGGCAGTGAAAGCTTCTGCCATGCAGCTGCCTGCCACTGTGCCTCCACCCTGGCCTGGAGAGAACATCTCTAGGGCTGAGCGGGAGAGCGATTTCCTTGGTCCATTCAGTCTCTGACTTCTCTACTGAGGCGGGCCAGCCGTAGTAGTTGCAGGTGGATGGATGCTTTTCTGTTGGGAATGGGTCTGTGATCCCAGGGTGGATATTTTTTTTTCTCTTTTTAAACTAAAAATGGGGAAAAATCTATGAAGCTACTGGATGCATTTTCCTGCCCACTTAACAAGTTCAGGCTCAAAAGAATGGTGGCCCTCTCCTATTGTTTGATTATTTTTTTTCCTGTGGATTTGCAGTTTAGGAGGAGTTGATGGGAATCTTTTAAGGAATGGATAAGGAATACTAACACTCATCCAGGAATTACCTACTGTCTGCCTCACTGACTGATAGGGAGAACTTACAGCATTGCTCCCTTTCTCTACAGCAAGCCTTATCGGTGTCGAAGGAGGTAATGCCACCCGTATTGGCAGGTTTGCCAACTACTTGAGGAACTTGTTGCCATCCAATGATCCTGTTGTAATGGAGATGGCCTCCAAGGCTATCGGGCGGCTTGCAATGGCTGGTGACACCTTCACAGCTGAGTATGTGGAGTTTGAGGTGAAACGAGCTCTGGAATGGCTGGGAGCTGACAGGAATGAAGGTCGAAGACATGCAGCTGTAAGTGATCATTTTTTTTGTCTTCACCTGTCTTGGAATTGAGATGGTTAGGTTTAGTTAACAGTGGTAGGAGATGTGCACAGAAAGCTGCAGAAGAGCTCTGGTCAGAATGAGAATGGCTGCTAGTCCATGTCTGAGAATCTGATGCTTTCATGGCAGATACAGTGCTGCTTCATTGCTTCTACCTCAGCCCAGTGACCAAAGAGGATTGAGACACCATTGTGCTAGGAACTGTAACAGTATGGAGCTGGAAACAGCTCAGGCTCACAAACACTGACAGTCTAAATAAATGATACTACGGTCTAGAAATGGTGAGGTTTGTCTGTGGGTGCTCATCCTCACAGATTGTTACTGTTTCTCTCCCCACCTCCAGGTTCTTGTCCTGCGTGAGCTGGCAATCAGCGTGCCTACCTTCTTCTTCCAACAAGTGCAGCCATTCTTTGACAATATATTTGTGGCTGTGTGGGATCCCAAACAGGCCATCCGAGAGGGAGCTGTTTCTGCCTTAAGAGCCTGCCTTATCCTCACTACTCAACGGGAGCCAAAAGAGATGCAGAAGCCCCAGTGGTACAGAGTAAGAAAATAACTTCATTTTGAAGCAACTCCTCATAATGCAATGCAAATGATCAAATGCCCATTTTTTAGAAGAGCCGTCTAAGCGAAGAACCTGTCACCTTTGTCACTATGTCTGGTGCCTCTCCTTGAAAGGGTTGAAAATATAATGGCTTACAAAATAAGTAGTTCCGTTAGCTCACTGTAAAAGTAAGCAAGAGACTTAACTCCCATCAAGAATCCATTTCTCTGCAGTTCATTTTCAGCTGTTGAGCCTGACGTTGTTTTACAGCCATGCAATCATCTATCTATTGTCATCTCTTACTAGCAGATGGTTTTATTAGTGTCGATAAAACCTAAGTGAAAAAGGTAAGGATTCTTTTGTCTGAACCTTAGCTTTGCTGCCATTGCCACATGAGTTCAAGCTTCGTAATATCAAATGAGGTTTGGACAGTGCAGTCAGATGTTGTGAACTTGGATTCCTCATAGTCAAATACATGATGCAGATATTGATGAAATTTATACTGTGGCATGGTTGACTGGCTCATTAGTGCTGTTGAAAATGCTCTGCAGCAGAGTCTACAGCTTCTGGGTGAAGTTGAATTTTGTAGTGTTATTACTCAGTTGAGGTTTGTGGCTACTCTTGGAAGATCACAGGATGTGAGTAACTCTTGACTGGCAGTACTGCTATTTCTGCAGGCTTGGTTTCTGCATGATCACTGAGATTTTTTAAATTTTTTTTCTTTCCCCCAAGCATACGTATGAAGAGGCTGAGAAGGGCTTTGATGAGACTTTGGCCAAAGAGAAAGGAATGAACCGTGATGACCGAATCCATGGTGCCTTACTGATCCTCAATGAGCTAGTGAGAATCAGCAGTATGGAGGGAGAGGTGAGCAAGTGAACAAGATGAGGATTATGGTTTTTGGTTGCCAGATTAATTGACAACATGCAGCAACTCAGCAATCTGTGGAAATATCCCATTGTGTTTGAAATGGGGTTGTTGGGCTGACAAGTCATCTGTGCATTGAGTCAGAGCATTGATTATTACAAATTGAAGTGTGTCAGAGAAATAACAGTGACAAGTTTGGGCTGAGTAGATATTAAACTGTGATGGAAAGTGCCATTAACTGCATTAATTACAATGCAAAAGGTTTTTATATAGAGTGAGGACTCTATTGCCGATTTTGCTTAGTTGATATTTTATAGCCATTTGGAAATCAGCTACACAGGATGCTACTCGGGAGATTTGGGTAGTACAGTGTTAGGAATCTCTTATCCAGCTACCTTTTTTTTTAAAACAAAACAAAACAAAACATGCTTTTCTACTTTATCCAGCGCCTTAGAGAGGAGATGGAAGAGATCACTCAGCAGCAGCTTGTGCATGACAAGTACTGCAAAGACCTGATGGGCTTCAGTACCAAACCTCGCCACATCACTCCCTTCACTAGCTTTCAGTCTCTTCAACCCTCTCAGTCAAATGCTTTGGCTGGTCTTCTGGGGTACAGTGCCCACCAGGGAATCATGGGTTTTTCAACCTCACCTGTCCCTGCAAAGTCTACGCTGGTAGAAAGTCGATGCTGCAGAGATCTGATGGAAGAGAAGTTTGATCAAGTGAGTGTTTGGTCTTCAACACTGCAACACCAGTTCTTGTAGAGAAATTGTTCTCTGTGTCCTTGCTTAGCAGGCAATACTGCCTAGTATTGATTTGAGGCATCAAATGTCATTAATTATATGTATCCTGGCTTTGTCACTATCTCCCTTAGAGCAAGTGATTTCCTTTCTTTGGAAACAGTCTTAATTATCCATCTTTTGGATGGACTCTGAAGCCACTTGTCAGTCGAATGCCTTAACCTAGGTAATAAACATCTGTGCAGTACTGCTAATGGCCATCCTTCAAAGCCCAATCTATCTCCTTTCAGGTGTGCCAGTGGGTTCTCAAGTGCAGAACCAGCAAAAATTCGTTGATCCAGATGACAGTTCTCAATCTGCTACCACGGTTGGCGGCTTTCCGTCCTTCGGCATTCACAGGTGACAAGACAGATGGTTGGGTGTTAGAAGTGCTGCTGAAATTGGGCTGGAAGTTATCCAGCTCTCCTTGGTCCAGATGAGCTTGTGCAGGCAATGCAGCAGTACAAACGTGGTGCTTGTAAGATGAGTAAATTTCTCTGTGGGAGGATAGTCTTGGGTTTTTTTCTGAATGTGTGACTTGATACCTGATGCCAAAATGTTGCTTTGATGAAGAAAATGGATCGAAAACTATTGTCTGAATTCTATGATTAGTACCATAAGGGATAGAACC